GCCAACAGGACAACGTCGTCTGCAAAAAGCAGAGACGAGATCCTGTGGTCCCCAAACCGGACTCCCTCCGGCCCCTGGCTGCGCCTAGAAATTCTGTCCATAAAGATAATGAACAGAACCGGTGACAAAGGGCAGCCCTGCTGGAGTCCAACATGCACTGGAAACAAGTCTGACTTACTGCCGGCGATGCGAACCAAGCTCCTGCTCCGGTCGTAATAATAATAATACTTTATTTATATAGCACTTTACAACTCGAAAGGAGAACAAAGTGCTTCACAGCAAGACATACAGTATATACTCTAGTAAGAAATGGTTGGTGTAGGTATCGATATCAATAATAAGTGCAATATACAAAATAATCAGGATGAGAATCAGTTTTATTGGCCAGGTGTGTTGGACAAGAGGAATTTGACTCTGGTACAGCGTCAATATACCGTTTACAGTTAAACATACGTATATGCAATATATAATATACAAATCACCGTATAATGCATAACCTAATGTATATAAGCCATATTCTATTCCATCTTACGTAAAAGTACAACAATAAAAATATATTAGCAACATGATATACAATGATAAAACTACCCATAGTACTGCTTCAATAATAATAATAATCTGGAGAGGATCTGGACTTCACTGTCCTCAAACAGGGATAAATATCTCCTGCTCACCAACAGTTGAACAGAACTGATGAAGGCTCTTGGATGAGAGATGAAACGTCTTCAACCTAAAACCAAGTCCAGATGATTTCATCTACATTTTTTCAGCTTATTATGACCTGGATGACTGAATTTGCATGGACATGGTGGTGGACAATGTGACAGTGACCTCTGAGCCTGCTTTATTTATTTACTTCGTCAGCAATCACATATCTACAGATTACTTACCAGTGTTCATAAAACAAATACATCTGGCCAAAGTGCCCAGTAATCAACCAACCCATACAGACGATTTATTTATGCTCCATATACTGTAAGTGTTTTCTGTACAAACTGTAAATATTCAAATATTCAGCCAGACACCTTTTGTGGCTGCGCATTAAATAGAAAGCAGGAAGTTTCCAAAACTGACAGACTAGGTGTCTGATTTGTTTTTGAACTAAGATAAAGTCTGTGGATTCACAGAAAAATTATTAACGTTTCAGTGATGCTGGTCACATTTGTGGTTGTGGCAGAGCCGACAAGACGAATGCATCATATTTACAGTACATGTTGCCTGTGGCATCATCCATATGGTACAAACATCAACCGATTTGTCACCACAGTTATCAGATTGTGTACAACAATGGAAACTGTATATTTATACCACTAAATATTTACATTGGTTCCCTGGAACAAAAAAAGTCATTTCCTAAAAAAAGTTATCAGTTTACTCAGTTTGATTGACAGGACAGATGATCAGAGGAGCAGAGTTTCTACCAACATCATTAAGATAGGGACAGAAGTACGGGTAGAGTTTCTCAGTGAAGCAGCAGCCAGTAAAGGAGTAGATAAGAGCTGCAGA